GAGGCCAGGTCTACCACTGTTGTAGGAAGGTGTGGGTAGACCTGGACTTCGGAGGCCAGGTCTACCACTGTAGTGGGAAGGGGTGAGTAGACCTGGACTCCGGAGGCCAGGTCTGCCAATATAGTGGGAAGGGGTGGGTAGACCTGGCCTCTGGAGGGGGGGCGCTCCAGGGCAGGGGGGTAATTGAGCCAGGGGGTGGACGGGGGTGGAGGAGATGGGAGAACCGGCAGGATAGGGGGGGAACTTACCTCCTCCTGCTGCTTCCTCCTCTTCCTCATAGTTGTGGAGTTCCCCCTCTCCCGCGAGTATCGCGGGTCCCCCCCTTGTCATATTCTAATAGAACATGCAGATGCTCATATGATACAATCGAAACCATTGAACATATGATTATGGAGTGTCCTAGATTCAATGAGTTGAGGGCTAATTGAGTCACCCCTTTACTTAAAGATATGGAACTGCTAAATGTGCAGGCCCAGGTGTTGTGGCTACTATTGGATACAAATGATCATGTCACCCTCTCAGTGGCAAAATTCATAGGTGCAATAATCAAATATAAGAGAAATAATACTGAGTAAAGTCTTTTAAAATATCTTTTGGTTCTGATTTCTGCTTAGGGTGATAGCCGTATGAGCAGTACTAGATAGATTATTCCAGTGTGCATCACCTTCCACTCACCAACACTGAACATCGTTTGCCACTTCCAATTCGTGGAGTTCCTCCCAGAGCATTTCACAGTCGGCCTTGGTTTTCACCACCCTGAATAATTTTGTGTAATCTGCAAACTTGGCCGCTACTGTGCTCACCCCCATTCCAGATAATTTATGAACAAGTTAGATAACACCGGCCCCGGTAACAATGTTTGTGGGATCCAACTGCTTACTCTCCCCCATTGAGAGAGAGCTGTCCACTTGTTCCCACTTTCTGCCATTTAACCAACACTTAAAAAATGATCATTTCCTTATTAAAAAATTCTGGATGGCAAAATGTAAACTGGCTTAATAGTTCTTTACTATCTCTGGGCTGAAGCTGTTACATTATAAAAAAGAATCATCCTCCATTTCCTTCTTAAGGGGAGTCCAAATTTGTTGTAAGATGTGAGTTAAAGCACAAATCATAGTGCCTTCCCCTTCACCCTAACACTGTAAACTAGGTGACTTTTATCTTTCCTCAGATTCCGACAACTCATTGCTGAATACGAACCAGAAGCACCGGAGGTATCTCGGCTATTCCGTTCTGCTCTACATGATGTTCTTGAGAGGATGAAAGAGGAAGAAGAGGCGAAGAAGCTTGCTAGCCAGTGGAACACAAAACACAAAACCAGCCTTTCCCTCACAACTTTCAAAACCCGTTCCAGGATTTCCCCATTCAGCAGTGATATCAAGACCATTTCAGAAGATGTTGAGAGAGGCACTGATCCAACCAGGAGAGTATGGAGCATGCCAGAGTTCAGGAGCACCAGGGATTACTGACTTCATTTACTTGTAACAATAAGATTTTAGAGACAGACCTTTGTATTTATTTATTTATTCCCCCCCCCCGTGTGTGTGTCTCATTTTTGTCTTCTGTCCAATTGACCCTTTTTGCCCTTTTCTGTGGATGAATTCGCATGGACACTTAGGGGGCTTCTTTTAATCCATGCATCTGGAGTTTTGTTGTGCTGTCAATGAATATGTGCATGGTGAATCATTCATATGGATTGGCCTCACAAGTACTGATTGACAGCTTTGTGTGCGATGGTGTGGGTAAAAAATTCCATACAGCTCATTCTTGTGATTTTGTTTTCCAAAGATCGAAAGAGAAGTTCAGAAAAGTTGTTATGAGAATCAGCCCCATGTGTCTGTTTATCCTTTTTATGGATGCCTCCCTATCTTACTGTGTCCATAGTAACTGGAGCTGATGCACATTTTTAGATCACTCACCACAGCAGTCCCTGCCAGAAACTAATGAGCATATCCAGAGGCCCACAAATACAGTTGTGGAGTGGGGACCCAGTAGAGAAATCTTCTAGTAAATCCCCCTACAATGAGTAACCTTTTTATAAAGCCAGGACAGGCAATGTGTGCCACTTTCCAAGCAGTGCCAGTCTGTATCTTCCGCTGAAATATTATCACTATCGCTATTAGGGGCTGGAGTAGAGGGACTATCCCACACATTCCAGCCACTGGTTGTCCTCTGTAAAACTGCCTTTCTGGACAGCACATACAAAAGAGACATGCTTACTTTGCCTTTGTGGAGCAAGAAGTGTAAAAGTGAATCTCACTGGTTATTAGGGACAGTGATTGGCTACTGTGGCCAGTCAAAATCTGTGTACCTCTCAGCATACCATTTGTCAGTTGAAGGCTATTTCTAATTTATTTGTTTTGATTCTTCCCTTTGTGAAACCAACAATTACATGATCCTAACCTGATACGCCCTTGCTTTTAATCAGCATTTTGCCTGTGTTGAATGTCTCCTGGTGAAGATGAATCCCATATGTAGTTCTGTTGAACATGAGGCTGTGCTATGGACATCTTCAAAGGGCCCTCTCTGCCTTGTTTCTGGCTCTAGGTGAGAGGGAGAAGGAGCAACGTACCAGTTCTATGGTACAGCTCTAAGGCAGCTGTACTTACATCCCTTGCTTTGAGATAAATGGAAACTTCCTGGTGCACTCTGCTTTTCTTCTCTTCTAGAAGAAATATATTTCTGTTGCTGAACAGCACTGATACTCATGGAAGCTGTCCAGTTTTGTGTATTCATGGTACACAAAATGCAACTCTAGTTAGAATAGATTTCTGAACATGACCTCATTTTAATCCAGTTTCGCTTACTGAAAAGAAAACCTTACGTAAAGCCAGGGCTTTAAATGAGATTTATTAGCAGCAGCTTTGCATTGCCTGCATTTGCACACATAGGATAGGGTGTGATCTAGGCCAGAGTTAAGTACCATTGATATCAATAGAAGAGATGTTGTAAGTTCTATTTAAGTCTTCACTGAAATCAATGGTACTTCAAAAGGACATAACTGTGGTTGAATCTGATTTCAGACACTTGCACAGAATACTGTGAACACATTTGTAATCTTCAGGAATGGTTTATGCAGCCAAGACTGGGCATCAACTCTTGTTGACTTTTGATCTGCAGGTGACTCCTGAAGGTGAATGGGGCACCCAGGGTTGAAGTGCTTCAGGTAATAATAATGTGTACGGTCAAGTCAGCCAACTCAAGGCAACCTCAGAGTCATGGAGTTTTCAAGGGAAGAGATGAGCAGAGGTGACTTGCCATTGCTTTCCTCTGTGTAGCAACCCCTGGCTTCCTTGGTGGTCCCCCATCCAAGTACTAACCATGGCTGCCCCTGCTCAGCTGCCAAGCTCTGATGAGGGAGGGCTAGTCTGGGCTATTAGGTTGCTGCTTAAATTTCTCCTGGAATGATTTTACTAGATTTAGGTTTTAAATCTACAAGCAACGCAGGACAGTGTGGATGCACTGATGTTTTTAACCCAATCTTGACAGACAAAAGGGTTTCTCTCAAAACATTGTGCAGGAACACCAGCAAACTGCATTAATTAGAAAAAACAAAAAAAACAAAACAAAACCCCAACTCAGGGCTTCCATGTGTTACATCCCACTTGACAAAGACCATTTAAACTCAGGTTCAGAGAAAGAAATCAAAATGTTGACAATCATACAGTTGCTATGCCATTTTCTATGCCTCTGAATACTTATTTAAGGCATTTGTATACAACTTTTCCTAAGCTCAGTGTTTTACATAAAGAGACTTGTGCAAATAAAATTAGGAGCTGAGGGTGGCCTCCTGGCTTAGGGATCTCCTCTCTTACCTATTCCCATCAGGCCACAGAAGTGGACACTGAGAAGGTCAGAGGGGTGCTTCCCTAGCCTGAATTTCTCAGGCTATTAATGGCCTATCCTTGATAGGGCACTTTTTAAAAGGTGATGTTCTTGGGGTAGAACTGGCTTCTTTGTTGTCTTGTGTTTGTGACCCCCTTGTGTTTAGAGCATGAAAACATGAAAAGCCATTTTCTAACCAGTCACATGACCACTTTTGTACCTCTATGTGAAGTGTATTGCATTAAACTCTGAAATACATTCGTTAATTTTGGTCATCCTTTGGCCTTTTTATTGATTTACACTGCTCTGTCTGTTAGAACCTTCAATATTGCTTCTGATATGGTCATATTTTATTAAAACTCTGAGCACTAATTAAAACAAGGGATGTTTCCTAACACATAATCCATCTTATTGAACCAGAGAATATAGATATGCTAAGTATATCTATGTAGTGGAAGAATAAGAGTCCAGTGGCACCTTAAAGATTAAGACCAATTTCCCACAAGCTGCTGCTCCGCCCTTGCTCTTCCTTTCCCCCAATCGTATGTGTCAATTTCCCACTACCTGCTGCACAGCCACATTTTGACCCGCAGCTTCACCCGATTTCCCCCGTATCTTTTTGACCCTCAAAAAACAGGATCAAAAAGACACGGGGGAAATTGGGTGAAGCTGCGGGTCAAAATGCGGCCGCGCAGCAAGTAGTAGGAAATTGACACATACGATCGGGGGGAAAGGAAGAGCGAGGGCGGCTTGTGGGAAATCAGTCTAACAAAATTTGTGGTAGGGTATGAGCTTTTGGGAGTCACTGCTCTCTTCTTCAGACAGATTAACATGGCTATCCATCTTTATCTATCTAAGCAGATGTAGTAACACCATCTTGGAAGATCAACAATTTTGTATTTAAATGCCATAGTATGGCTAGTGTGTCTGGCTAGGATCTGGCAGACCCAGGTTCAAATCTCCACTCCATTTTGCTCAACTTCCCTCATTACAACCCTTGTCAAACAGGACTTCTCTCTCTGTAGGTCCCATAAATCTCCAGCAATGGGGTTTTTTTTGTGATCAAAGGTGAGTACCTCCCTACTTCCTTCTGCACCAGTGGAAAAACTGGCTGGATCCAGCTGTTCTCCAGGGAGCCTTTCTACAACTTAAGTGGCTCTTCCATTGGAGTTATGAGCCACTTAAATTGGAAGAAAGCTCTTTAGGCTGAAGAAAGACTTCATACCACTCAATGGAGTGGAAGGATCCACCCTTGTGTTTGTATAAATCCACTGTGGGCCTTGTCATAGGGAAAGGGCTACATAAATTATACTATACACCACATAGAAAAGCAAGGTTAGATATACTTTAAATGCTCTGATCACTTAAACTCTGAAGACAGGACATTGAGGCATGAAGGGGTAGAAGCGAATACAGCTTTGCAGGCCAGGTAACCATCTCCCCTAATATATTTGAACTAGGTGTGGACAGATGGAAATTAGAAATTTGAAGGACTGAAGCAAGCTACTTGATGTGGTTATCAATAAATTTTCCCCTTTGTATAACAGGAATTATTGCCTTTATAATATTTCCATGTAGTTCCATATAGGTGGTAGCTTTAAGTACTGCTGGTTCTCAACACTGGATGCATTTCTCCAGGCTAAGTGTAGAGCATGAACCAAATTTGGCAGGTAGTACAAAACAGGCTGGGGATTGGGAGGTTTTTTGTCATCTTCTGGGCATGGAGCAGGGGTCACTAGGGGTGTGGGGGGGAGGTATTTGTGAATTTCCTGCACTGTGCAGGGGGTTGGACTAGATGACCCTGGAGATCCCTTCCAACTCTATGATTCTATGAAAAGGAGACCATATAAATTGGCACATCAAGCTATGCATGTCACTGAGGTATAAAGCTTGTGACTTACTCTGACACACACCTCCCTCTGAAAAAGGCAGCATCCACTTACATTAAAAAAACCCCAAATGTATCAGTCAACAAATTCTGTCATGAAGGGCATTTGTTATCACCAGCAATTCTGAACAAAGTAGTTCCAAGTCAATTGCAGTCCTCTACCACTCTGTTGTAATAACTTTAATTGCTGCCATTGTTGGACCAATACATTCTTGCAAGGCTAGGTTCTTAGATTAAATAAGTGCACATGCAAGAAATTGTGTTTTAAAAGTCACATCGTAAATTTCTGTATCAGCAATTTAATGAGGCCTACAGATGATTTTTAATAAGCTTGGTTTTAAGTATTTCCTATGCATAAATGTAATCTGTGTCTAGACTGCATAGCAGTGATGAACAATAACTATGCCAGTGACAGTCTTTATTCATTTGGAATCTATATGACAAATAATTGTGTGCAGTAGAAAGCACTTGGCATTGTAGCATATTCTATGTTTGGCAATTGCAACATCTTTTGTCAGCAACCCACCCCCCCTTCTGATAGCATAATATCAAAGGAGGCAGAGCTTGCTGGTGAAATGGACAGCTGACATACCACTTAGACCCAGGAGAACGCTGAAGAAAAGGAGACTATGATGAGTGGCCAGGAATCCTGGAGGTTTTTTGTCATCTTCTGGGTGTGGAACAGCGGTCACTGCAGGTATGGTGAATTTCCATAGTATTTGTGAATTTCCTGTATTGTGCAGGAATAAGGGTCATCTGACTAGATGACCCTCGAGGTCCATTCCTACTCTATTATTCTGTGATTCTATGACCACCTTATTCCACAGAAGACAATGATACCCTCATGACAGAAAGTAGGTCCAGTTTCCATTTTGTGACATCAGTTGTGGGGTAGCCTGGCCTACAGAGAACCTGGCCAAATAAGCAAGGAAGAAAAGTTGGGGGTTCATCAAAACTATACTTGGGTAGGAATAATATTCATCTGAGTTAGAAAATATGGAAGATAGAGCAGATAAGTGAGCTCACTTCTAAAGGAAGTTCTATTTATAAAAGATTTTCATAATTTCTCTTCGAGTGGATGCTCAGAGGTAAACATAGTATGCAAAATGGCCCAGCTTCAGTCTCTGGCATCTTCAGTAGCAGGTGATGGAAGATTTTTACCTGCAAAACCACTCCCACTCATAATATATAATACTGAGGTAGCTGGACCAGAGGCTTAACTTGATAAAAAGGCAGCTTCAGCTGTCAAGGAAAAAAAAGTACACTTTTTATTGCACCTATTCAAATGCCATCCCCAATATATTTACAGGTAGACGGTGCCCTCTTCTGTTAAACTTCAACTGTTTCACCAAATGAAAGTAGTGAAAACCTACAATACATTTTAAAATGTTGTACTGTATCTTGCCCTGACCTGGATGGTAGGGCTAGCCTGATCTCATCAGACCTCAGAAGCTAAACAGGTTAGGCCCTGCTTAATATTTGGATGGGAGACCACCGAAGAAACCCAAAGTCACTACACATTTTCTTTATTTCTAGACATGCCCCCCCCACCATGTTCACCCCCCCCAAAAGCAGCCGCCTGCCTTCCCTCCCTCCCTCCAGTTGCTTGCGGGCTGGGTAAGAGCCCTGGATGGGACGGTTCAGGCCCCCGGGCCTTATGTTTGACACCCCAGCCCTATGGGGTCACCATTAAGTCCACTGTGACTTGACAGCACTATCCACCACCACGCATGTCTCATGAAGCCTGTTTGGAATTAGGAAGCAGACATAATTTGGGGGTAGGTCCTATAGGTAGTACTCAGCTTCAAACTAAGTAGTACTCTGATATTTATATACTTCAGGTCTTTGCGACTGCAACAAGGCAAGACAACCAGAAACTAAGAGGAGGGGGAAGATGTGACATTGCATATTTTATTCACTGAATGTCAGGGAAAGGAAACACCATGCCTGCTGTTCTGGGTGGCAACCCAGTAATGAACATCACCATTTAATTCCACCCTGGCTTCCATACAATCTCAGGCACACTTGAACTTTGCCCTCAGGTTAACTGTACGTAGTGTAGTGAGACTTTTGAAAATAATAGTGATGTTACGATTTTGACTGAATTCAGAAGCAATGGATTTTATTTGTATTTTCTTCTAAAATAGAAGATTGTACACTGTGAGGTCATGTTACATCCCCAGTCCTCTGCTCAAGTCTGTTTGATATACAGTGCAACTTTGCTGAATTTGAAGGCGCACTGGGATTTTTGTAGTATGCAGCTATACAGATAGCGCTATTTAAGAGAGACCAGACCACAGACTATGACAATCAGACCAGAAAGCAATCACAGTTGTCAATACAACAACCATCCCTCTACATTTTCACATAATAATTATGTCATCTCAAAATATTATATCCAAAATCCTAGCACCTAGATAATAATCAGCCACAAGTTTGATACCAACTATGAAAGGAACACACATTACACTGAAAAACAATGATTTCAGAAGTATTGTATTAATGTCTCTAGAGGAAACATGAGATAGAAAGATGCTTTGCTGATTACAACAAATATACTTAATACTAAAATATCTATACACAGATAGGCTTCTTTTTAAACAGCTTATTTTCAAGCACTCAGCTTTAACATGAAAAATGACAAAGGACAACTGATGGTAAAGTTGTATATGCTGTCTGGGATATACACAGCATGCCAAAATACAACAATGTCATCTCTCTTTAGAGAATTTTCAATATCATACAATTTTTAAGCAGTCACCAGAGAGAATTTTGTATGAGGGGCCCCTCAGAAGTGGCAATATGGTTCTTGACGAATTGTCAAATTCTTTACTTTGCCTGTTGTGAACCGAGGTACCAATTATCTTCCCAGCAAGACAGTTTCCGCTTGTCACACATTGGGTTCTTCCAGCTCTCACTCTGAGCTTGTATTTGGTGCTTTGGGAAGCAGGATCACCAAATGAGTTGAAAGACTTACTGGTCCTTGCTTAGTAGCATATTCACTACAAAGCAGAGTTCAAGAAATCAAGGAGTTCAGCACGGTTTCGGTCACGCTACAAATCAGAAAGCCAGTCATTAAAAAACACACCTTAAAGAATGTCATACACTTTTCTTCCCCCCAAAACCAGCTCAAAGCATTCATAATCCAGTTTGCAGCTGGGTTCTACATTCAGAGAGCCCCAGCAATTTCAAGACTTACTTTCTGCAGATTATATGAATTCATGCCTGTACAACTGGGATGTTAGATCTTTGTGTGATGTGTATGAACTTGCATGATACTCAAGAGATTAAGGCTGCAGTCCTGTGCACACTTAACCTCAAATCCTATTGAATTCACAAAGACTTCTGAGCAGACACCCACAGAACCAGACTGTACCACAGCTGTTTTAAACATGGACTGTTTAAAGTTCCATTGAAAAAGTGGAATTTATAGATGGTGTAGACTGAGAATTGCAACCAACGTCTTGCAACATTTTAGTATTATGACTGAAAATTTAGAACAAAAAACTGTATGTTGAAGTCTCTGAAGGTGGCTTTGAGGATACAAGAGGCATTTTTACAGAGCTACAGGACATTATGAGAAAACTAAGGTCCTAATTCAGTTTTAGTTAAGGACAACTAGCCATACCTAACTACTGGTGGTCCGGATCACCATGCTATGAAAAGACACATCCAGCCAGTTCTCTCTCTCTCTCTCTCTCACACACACACACGCGCGAAGCGGCCTTATACTGAATCAGACTACTAGTCCATCAGGGGCAGTACTGTCTACACAGACTGGCAGCGGCTCTCCAGGGTCTCAGGCTGAGGTTTTCACATCACCCAGTACACGATCCTTTTAACTGGAGATGCCAAAGATTGAATCTGGGATCTACCGCATGCTAAATAGATGCTCTACCACTGAGCCATGGCCCCTCCCCAAATTTGATGGGGCTCAGATGAGCATTGTGATATGGATGGAACTGTGCCTTTACATTACAATCTGCGCAGAACTGCATCACGGCACACAAGCAAAACTGGATTATTAGTTACTGCATTCGGCACAGTATTTTAGAATCCTAAACCAATTTATTATCTTTAACACAGGAACCACAACATCTACACATCAATAAATGCAGATACCTACTTCCAGGGAACATAGTGACCTGACAAGGAAAGGTTCAAGTCCTTTCTTGCTGTGGGGCAAACAATGCCAGGGAAGGAGGAGATTTACTTCTCCCATCCTTACCTCTCTCCCACGGGGGAGACCCAACTGACAGGTGGGGGGGGGATATTTCCACTCGGGTTCTGGAAATATCAAGGGCAGCTGAGACAAGGAGGGCTTTTGGCCAATAAGGTCAGCTGACCCCAACCGATCCTTGTCCCTTTTCCTGTTACTTTTTTTTTTTTTTTTTTACAAAAATCAATCTGGATTCAGCAATCTTTGCACTATTTTGGGCTCCTGGAACTGCGAGCATAATTGGAAAGACTGGCAGACTACCAGCAGTGTTTGAAGTCAGCTTCCAATATATATAGTGATAAGAGGGACCTCCTTCGAAAACTTATGGCTTTTGGAGCAAGGTTTCTGATAAACTTTGATCTTTAAGTACAGCTACTCTGCAAGAGGTTTATGTAATCATTTTCAAAGAACTTTATTTTGGCTGAACTGCACTTGGCTGCTTTCGAAGAAAATCTCAGCTTCAATAATACAGCAAAAATACTAAGTGAAGCTCTTTTTAAAAATTATCTACTCTGCAGAATACATAATTGGTTATTTTCATTTTTTACTTTTACTCTTTCTTATCTTTTTAATTTTTTTTCTATTTTTGATGAAAGACGTTTGTTTGAAGCGTTTAGTGTCTCAGCTGTGATGTGACACAGCAAGGGTTAAAAAACCTCCGTTTCACCAGAGTCTGCTCATTGTAAAAACAAGATTTATTTATTTTCCTCTGTTATATATTTCCTTACTTGGACACCTTCTTTGAAATCCTCCAGAATGAAAAACAAGAAAACATTGATTCCCCCCCCCCCGAAGACCTTAGATGAATCAGTGTACTGGGAAACTAAGCTAAGACGTGGCTGGTTTCCCCCCCTTCTACTTCATTGTTGTTCCTCCTCTCTTTTTCCCTCCTCTTTCTGCCATCTAATTTATCACTTTTCTCCCCTGCTTTACTAAATTTTAGTTTTAATAGGAAAAAATTGTTCGGTTGGTGATAGATTGAGGTTTGTGACGAGGGATGGGCATGAACTGGGAAAATTGAGGTTTGCGGGGTCTCACAAACTGGGATGAACCCCCTGGTTCACAAACCGGTTTGAGGTTCATGGTTCCTGATGTAGTGCACTTGCAAAAGCCTTTTAAAGGATTCCCTTTAAATGGCTTTTGCAAGCTGCATTGCCACTGTGACTCGCAAGTGAACTGAGAAGGGATTTAAATGCATTTTCACTTGCGAGCTTGGAGGCAGGGAGGGGAGCAAAACAGATATGTTAAATGGGTGACAGCCATTTAAACCTAACAGCTGATGGGCGGACCCACTGAGCTGTAAGGTTTAAATGGCTGGCAGCCATTAAATTGGTCAGTTTTGCTCCCCCCCCTTCATGGCTTGCAAAAACCATTTAAGGGTCTCTTTAAATGCCTTCTCCAAGCTCCGCCACCGGCATGAGTGTGTCTGCTCACACAACCCCCCTGGCAGGTTTGTGGGGCTCGTGAGTGCAGGACAGGCATGAACTAAGGTTTGTGAACCATGAACTGGGTTTGGTTCATGACAAACTTTTGTTCGTAATTTGGCTTGTGCCCATCCCTATTTGTGACTTAATGATTAGAAGATATGCTACCTTTCTCATTCATACTATATTAATTCAGAACACTCATTACTTGCTACATTTAGCTCTTTTTTATAAGAACCAGAGATAATCCCATTTTTGTTGTAATAGACATATACTTTAGTTATTTAATTATTGATTATTGTGCATTTAATATATGCATAGAAAACAGTATATGGAAATAATATATGGAAAGTGTGTACAATATTTTTTAAAAAGGAAGGAGAATGGCAACAGGAACACGTCAAAGAGAAAATGAAAAAAGGAATAGAGATGAACAGATGAAGACCAGAGAATTGAAGAAATGGTTGGAAAATGACTACAAACATTGGTGCACCACACGCAACAATATGAAGAAAAAACTCAAAAGACCAGTCAAGATTCAGAGAAAAGAACCTTAAAGAATATTTAGTGTATTCAGAGAAATATTAAAGAATCTGAGGAAAGAAACCAGAAGAACATTCAAGAAGTGCGTCAAGCGGTATCAGATGGACTATCAGAAATTTAAAATTACAAGAACAAATAGAAGGAATTATAAAAATCAAAGAGAATCAAAAAGATAATGACACATATTTAGAAAGGCGGGATCTTTGGATCTAGAAGGCAGAACAAAGAACTAAAATCATGGAAACTCAATTCAGATTTAATAATCTGTGTTTTAGAGGAATTCCAGAGAATTTTGGGAAGTCAAATTTGGAAAAAAGTTTCATGATTTACTTCTGAATTATTTGAAGATAGAAGGCTTCCGTGACACTGACCAGATTTTAGAGTGAATTCCAGATCTGCATTCAAGAATAAGCTACCTTGAGATATACTGGTTCAATTCACCTACAAGAAAATACAAGACACAATACTAAAGAACCAAAGGGAATCACCACTCAAGGTTGTGGGAAAAGAAGTGCAGATCTTTCAGGATTTACCAACAAGTGTATTAAAGAAAAGGAAAGACTTTGACTTTTTGAGACAGATTGGAAAATACCATCTGCAATAGAGGTATACTTACGAAAAGGAAGAAAAATAATCACAACAGAGGAACAAGTGAAGCAATTGGCCGAAGAACTGCAAGTGGAAGACTTATATAGAGGAACAGAAGGAGAATCATCAAGTAACTCAAAGCAATTTGCTAGCAGCTAAAAGCAAAGTTCACAGATCAAAAACTCGAAAGAAGAAACAAGCACAGAAAAGGATAAATTGGGCATGGCAACATCAGGGCAAAATGGATAAATTAAAAAATAGTATCAATAAATATCAATGGACTGAATTCTTCAAAATGCACGAAAATCTTCAGCTGACATATTATGCATACAAGAAACTCATATAAAGAAAAAATACAAACATAGGCAAAGCATATCTTACTTCAGAACAAAACAAAAAACGTGGAATAGCCATTTACATAACCCACAATCTCCATTATAAATAATAGCCAAATGGTGGTGGCACTTCTCTAGAACATTCCACATGCTCCAGTCAGTTTGCTCTCTGATCTGTCATTCAGAGGGTCTCCCTATCCACTGGTTGCTTTGCCTGAGTCCTGCCTCTAACATTCTAAACATTTTGCTAATCCTCTCCCCCCCATAGCCAGTCAGAACACAGAGGTTATTTGCATATGCAGCCTCATTGGCCTCTGCCTCGGAACACAGAGGTCGTTTGCATATGTGACTTGATTGGCTTTTGCCTGTAACATTCTAAACAGTTTTGCTCTTCTGAGGTAAAATGTGTCCAATCTCCAGGTGAGGGCTGGAGATCACTCAGAATTCCAACTGCTTTCCAGATGGCAGAGGTCAGTTCCCCTGGAGAAAATGGTGGGCTCTGTATCCTTATATGCTGCTGAGGTGGCCCCCGTATGACAGCCAATGTGACGTAGCAGTCAGGGCTTCAGAGCACGGGAGAGGCTGCAGGTGTGTGGGGGGGTGGAAAGCTGAAGAGTGAAGGGGAAATAAAGGTAGGTTGATGATTGGCTGGGAAGGAGATCGGGTTGCCAGCTCCAGGTGGGAAATTCCTGGAAATATGAGCGATGGAGCCTGGAGAGGGTGAGGTTTCAGGAGGCGTGGGACCTCGGACAGGTACAAAGCCATAGACTCCACCCTCCAAACCAACTATTCCCTTCTGGGGAACCATCATTGCCAATCTCCAGGTGAGGGCTGAAGATCACTCAAAATTACAACGGTTCTTTAGGTAGCGGAGATCAGTTCCTCTGGAGAAAATGGTGGATTCAGTGTCATTATACCCTGCTGAGGTTGCCACAGCAAATTGTCACTGAGTGTCCAAGGTCGGGGCACCCGCCCAGAGCCTCTTTCTAGAGGCCGTTGTATTTATTTCCACAACGGGCCTTTTTCCTAGTTAGAAATATTAGATGAATTAAGAGACTCAGATGGAAGATACTTAATTTAAAAAATGAGATTCCTGGAAGGCAAAATATGCATGATAACAACAAATGAGGATAAAGTTAATTTTTTTGAGAATTTTCCCCAAACTATGCCAGACTTCCAAGATGAGGAAATAATTATTCTTGGAGATATGAACAGAGTTTTAAAGCCCAAAAAAAGACAGACCAAGGAATAGTAAAGGTGGAAAATTACTTTAAAATGTATTTCAATACATGGGAATGATGAAATTAGAAGATTCCTGGAGGACCAAACATCCAGAGACTTTACTTTCCTTTTCAGACAGACATCAAACATATTCAAGAATAGACATGTGCTGAATATCAAAAAGTTTGACAATGTATTTAGAAAACGTAGAGATTCAACCAAAGATATTTGTAGATCACAGTCCCACAGAAGTAGCCTTGCAAAGGAAAAGAGAATCAAGAAAAAGGTGGCGATTAAATGATACCCTTTTACTACAAGAAGATGTAGTAAAAAAGTGTAAAAAAGATTTGGGAGGTTGTTTTTTTTTTAGTAAACAACACAGAAGGAATATCTTCAGCTACAATTTGGGAAGCAAGTAAAGCTTTTATCAGAGGAATTCTACTAACAGCTCCTACTAAAAATGTGAGAAAGATTAGAAAAAACTAAGATAGTAACAAAAAAAATTCAGAGATTGGAACAAGAACATAAAAACAACAATAATAAAAACACTAGCAGAGTTTAAACAATTAAAAACCAATTATATATATTAAAAGTAGAAGAGGTACAGAAAAAAATTAAAATTTCTAAAATGAAGATATTTTGAACATGCATATAAATCTGGCTTATTGTTTCTGGAAGGAAAGAGGAAAAAAGAGTAACAACAGGTATATAGAAAGGAGATGAAATTACATATACAGAAAAAGAAATACATGAACAATTTATCAGTGCGCTCTCAGAATTATACAAACAGAAGTTTGTTTTAGAAGAATAATGAGAAAATATTTAAAAGACATCCCAATAGCAAAGTTTATGTCAGAACATAGAAAAATACTGAATCAAACAATAACAATACAAGAATCTCTCAAGCAGTGTTCCCTCTAAGCTGAGTTAGTGTGAGCTAGCTCACAGTTTTTTAGCCTCCAGCTCACACATTTTTGTCTCAGCTCAGGAAGGATGGCTTCAGAGCAAACTAATTTATGCAGTAGCCAAATCGTTCGCTCACAACTTTAATGCCAGTAGCCCACAAAGTAGAATTTTTGCTCACAAGACTCCACAGCTTAGAGGGAACATTGCTCTCAAGCAATAAAGAACATAAAGAAGGATAAAGAACCAGGACTGGATAGGTTGACAGCAACATATTACACAATCTTGAAGAAATATAAATAATACCGTTACAAAAAATTATGAATGAGATAAAGGGAAAAACAATAATACCCCTGATGTGGCAAGAGGCGTACATAATGAGGGTAGTGATGCATAGCTACCACAGTTTTATAGACCTATTTCTCTGCTGAATGTAGACTACAATCTTTTTGCCACAATAATGGCAGAAAGATTAAGAAAATGCATACTGACTTTAATACACTACGATCAAACAGGTTTGGTGTCAAAGAGGAACATGAAAGATAATAAACAATTTATAATAGATGCAGTTGAATGTGTGTACAAGAAGAGAAAGAAAGCAGAGTTTCTATTTCTAGATGCAGAGAAAGAGTGACAATTTAATATGTTTTGTCTTCCTGAATGTTTCACAAAATATGGGCTGTGGTCCTACATTCTGGATGCTTGGAATGTACTCAAACCAACAAGCAAAGATTTTAATTAATGGGAAACTAACAGAAGCAATTTCAATTGAAAAAGGAACATGTCAGGGATGTAAGAACATAAGAACATAAGAGATGCCAATGTTGGATCAGGCCAAAGGCCCATCCAGTCCAACACTCTGTATCACACAGTGGCCAGAAATACCAGTGCCATCAGGAGGTCCACCAGTGGGGCCAGGACATTAGAAGACCCCCCCAAGCACCAAGAAGACAGAGCATCACTTGCCCCAGAGTCCCTATCTATACCTTGTGGCTAATAGCCACTGATGGACCTCTGCTCCATATGCTTATCTAATTCCCTTTTGAAGCCGTCCATGCTTGTAGCCGCCACCACTTCCTGTGGCAGTGAATTCCAAGTGTTAATCACTCTTTGGGTGAAGAAGTACTTCCTTTTATCCGTTCTAACCCGACCACTCAGCAATTTCATGGAGTGCCCACGAGTTCTTGTATTGTGAGAAAGGGAGAAAAGTACCTCCTTTATCCCCTTTATTATTTATACTAGCAATAGAGATTTTAGCTATGACAATTAGACAAAAACAGAATTAAGAGAATAAAAATGGATGATGTAGAGTTCAAAATGAAAAGTTACGCAGATAACATGTTTCTAACAGTCTTGAATTCTCAGAAATGGTTGCAATATATTGAAGAATTTGGATCCCTATCAAGCTATAAAATTAGTAGAAAAAATGTTAATGAATTTTTTAAAACAACAACAACAACAAGAGATTATAAAGAACACAAAGTGCTCAACAGCCACCGATCCTATTAAATATTTGGGAATAACTGTGGTTAAGCAAAACTGTAATAGCTTAAAAAACAACTACCAGAAAACTTGGAAATCGATACAAGCACATTAAGATGGAAAAAACTAAAAATCTCATGGCTAGGAAAAAACAACTTTTAAAAAACAACTACCAGAAAACTTGGAAATCGATACAAGCACATTAAGATGGAAAAAACTAAAAATCTCATGGCTAGGAAGAATCTCTGCAATCAAAATAAATGTGTTGCCAAAACTAAACTTTTTGTTCCAAATGTTTCTCATATACATAGAAGAAAGAATATTGGAAGAGTGGCAAAGACAGATAAATGAATTTATATGGAATGGCAACACCCCCCCCCCCCCAAGAATAAGCTTCAAAATATAACAAGATGAGAAAAACAGAGGAGGATTAGCAGTTCCAAATATAAAATTATATTACCAAGCAGAAAGTCCGATCTGGATTGTGGACTGAATTAAAAACCCAAGACAAAGAATAGTAAAATTAAAACCAGCAGATCTTGAGGAAGGCCCACACTTTTTTTTAAGGATTAAGAAATTGACTAAAAAGATTATAATACAAAAAAGAAGTCACGTAATCAGAGAATGACTTTTGAGAATATGGTTTACACGCTGGAATTTACTGAGCCCCTCAAACTCTTTGCTTATGTCCCCAATAGAAGCTCATTATGATAAGAACACAAGAAATAAAAATGATTTTTTTAACAGATGGCATGATGATAAACACTCAGGAAAATCAAGTCTTGGCAAGATATTGAAATGGCTGATATATTATCAATTAGTCTCAAGACTAAAGGAGGTCATGAGTACTGAAGGCGGAGCAGTTGATTATAAAACAAAAAGAGCATTTACTATGATGGATACATAAGATTTTACTCCAGCTAGAAATGGAAGGTGAACAAGTGAAAAAATGTATGATTAAGTGGATGCAAAACCTTAAAGAACAGATATTTATGCAAATATGGGAACGACTATGGGGAAAAGATATCAAATTTACAGTCAGCCAGACACTAAGAGAAAATTGGTACAAAATGTTTTCCAGATGGTATATAACGCTAAAGGACATTCAGAAAGCATATAAAAACTACAATGGAAAATCCTGGAAATGTCAAGACATAGATGGAATCTTCTTTCATATGCGGTGCATTTGCAAAAAAGTAAAAAGATATTGGAAAGAAATACATTGAAAAATGTAGAACATATAAAGTTTAAATTTCCAATGGAATCCAAAGGTGTTCTGCTTAACAAATTACCAAAAACTTTAGAAGAAGAGATATTCAAATACATGGTGAAAGCAGCTAGAACTATTTATACAGCAAAATGGAAACTAGAAGTCTGTACACGTTTAGATGACTGGGAAAATAAACTTGCTGAATACGCATTAATGGCAAAATTAACTACCTATTTGAGAAACAGGTCTATTACAAAATCTGAGGAGAGATGGAGTGTGTATTATGTGTATTAGGCTAGCAGGAGACAAACTTAAAGTGAGAAAATATCATATACAAATGTACAGTAATGAAATAGAAGCAAAATTAAAATCTGCTCCAAATGTATACAATACAATACAAATGGGTTCTTGATATGAGATATATAATAGACTTTCTTTTACACACTACTTATCTATTTAAGGTTCTAATGAATATGTAGAAGTGGCAAAAATGTTATACTGAATATGCAGTAATGACGAAACTAGTGTTGCAGACAAAACTGATTAGTTAAGAAGTTTGAAACCTTAAACTATTGTCTTTTATAGATAATACCTTATAATGAAGGGGATGAAAGGGAAAATATTCTCTATCCTATACATTTTGTACTACATTACTGACTTTGACAAATGCTATTATGTTATGTAACCCTACTTTTTATTTCTCTTTTCTGCACCCCCACTATTTTCCTCAATTAAACAAAACAAACAAACAAACATATAAATAAACACATCACTTTTGGTCAGTTACAAAACCTTTTAGAAACATTACCTCTTTATCCTTTTTACTCTTCTTTATTTTCATCTTAATTTTCTTTCCTGTGATCATACTGTAGTTTTGATTCTTCTTTTTATCTTTTAAGAACTAGAATAATAATGAGTGCATATCTTTGTAAATAACTAATATTAATAATTAATTTGTTTTCAAGAATGCATCTGGCCTAGTTATACTGCAGCTGTGTCTGCAAACTGCTTAGAACAACAAATAAGCCCCATGGCACCATAATGCAGAGATATGTGGGGTAGAACCATGTTGACTGTGTGGGTGTACGGGCAAAAAAGTGGGCAGCAGTGGGGGTTGACAACTGGGTACATGCTTGCTTGGCTTCAGCAGTTCTGCAGCACCAAGAGCCGTTCAGTGGGCTCCTATCAAGAACTCTGGCAATATTTTCTAAAATGAGACAATAGCATTTTGAACACGAAAGGAATATTCATGTCCAGTTACATTAGCCATTTAATTTTTTTCTTTTTTGAAATTTGCTTTGAGAGAGGAAGCTATCATAATGTTTTTATAGAGTAGTATTTAAAAATCTTCCTTCCTTTTGTCAGGCTGTTTCCATGGAAACAGTATTTCTATTGCTAACTTAAATCAGTTTAGTTGCTGGTTTTCTGTTCTTTTTGACTCAAGTTTCATTCTTTGTGCATTCACCCATGCTGGGGTCTTCTATACATTGACAACCCAATCTCAAACTATATTTGGAAAACGTAATGGTCAATTTCATAATGCCCTTGGGTTTAGACTGGAGTAACTCTGCGTATTTTGCACCGGTATACAAATTAGTGGAGGATAGGTCTATCAACAGCTATTAGTCACAATGACTAGATGGAACCTTTGATCTCCGTGCCCTGCTTGCAGGGTACTTTGGCACCAGCTGCAGACAGTGATGTTCTGGAGTTTTACCCTGAAAGGACTCATAGATTCTTGCAACCTTCAGTCCCATTAAGCACTCAAGAGTTTTCAGTGCCAGTGACTATACCAGTAAATATCAGTCTGGTCAAAGTCATTTTGAAAACATAAACTGATTCTGCAAGAGAGTTTCTCCCTCTTGAAGTTCACTCTGTGTGATTATATAATCACACAATCTATAGTGAGATGTCCCCCTATATAAAATGAATGTCAGGTGAGAATCCAGTCATAGCCTCTGAAAAAGTAGATCTAGTCCACAAAAGCTTATGCTGGAATACATTTGCATTAGTCTTTGGCAGGCCACGAGACTCCTGGTTTTTTTGAGAAAACAAATCATCCCTCACCTCTTTAGCCCAATATGTATTTCATTTCATGAACACTTTAGAAGGACTAGTCTAGTTCTGTGAAGGAAGAGGACTGAAAGCATCGCTACCCGTTCCAATTCGGACCCACCTTAGAAAGCTGTACTGGTCCTGATTTTTCTTTCTTTTTTTTCTTTTCCTTCTTTTTCTTCAACTTATCTTTTTTCCTCTTCTAAAAACATATTAAAAGATAAAAATATCAGTAACATTTTCTTACAAAGATTACTTATATCCTTCCTTTCTATATTAAGATAAATACTCAAAGCAGCTTAGGAATAACTTTAAAAGCCACACAAAATCAATATAAGCAAATAACGTGGCAAAGGGGGTTCAATGTGGCCAAGTGCGAAGTGATGAACATTGGGGCCAAAAATCCTAACTATAAATACACGTTGATGGGGTCCAAACTGGCAGAGACTGACCAAGAGAGAGATCTTGTTGTAGTAGATAACTCACTGAAAATGTCAAGACAGTGTGCAACTGCAATAAAAAAGGCCTACACAATGCTGGGGTTTATTAGGAAGGGAAATGAAAACAAATCAGCCAGTATCATAATGCCCCTGTATAAACCGATGTTGCGACCTCATTTAGAATACTGTGTGCAATTCTGGTCACCACACCTATGAAAGGATATTATAGCATTGGAAAATATTTAAAAAAATACGATAAATAAGACCAGTGTGATAATACAAATCCCATTCCAGTACAATAATTACAACAAAAGTTACCTAAGAAACTACACAACTACTCTTATATTTTCTAAAAGCCTTCTTTAAAAATAAAGTAAAAATAAAATAAAGAAAAGACTGGATGACATAATTTCCTTTTCTTGAAGAAACTGTATGATCGGGAACCAGACCGCTTGAAAGTTTTTATAATAAGCATCTAAGTTCTGCAGTCCCGAGGATTGGTCTAATTTTCCCAAACCAAAATGAGTCCATATACCATTGTAAGGTAAAGGTAAAGGTTCCCTTGCTTGAAAGCCAGTCGAATCCGACTAGGGTTGTGGTGCTCATCTCCGTTTCAAAGCCGAAGAGCCAGCGCTGTCCGAAGACGTTTCCGTGGTCATGTGGCCAGCATGACTAAACACCAAGGTGCACGGAACGCTATTACCTTCCCACTGAAGTGGTACCTATGTATCTACTTGCAATTTCTTGCTTTCGAACTGCTAGGTTGGCAGGAGCTGGAACTAGAGACGGGAGCTCACTCCGTCATGCGGCAACTCAGGTCTCAAACTGCTGAACTACCGACCTTCCACAGCCTGCAGTTCAGCGTCTTAACCACTTGAGCCACCGCAGCTCCATATACCATTGTACCAGTCCATTAAAGACGGACCTGTTGCTTTTCTCCATTTCCTTGCTATTTCTATCTTAGCAATCGACAACAGAGTTGCTATCATGGTTTGTTTAGATTTATCTAAGTGACTCAGTTGGCCTATTTCCCATAAATAAATAAATATGATATTTAAAGTTTTTAATTTAGCTAACAGAATTATTGGGCCTATAAATTCAGATTTTCTTAACCTTTAGGTTCTTAATTGAATGAATAATGAGTCATTCATTTCCAGCTCAGGTCATAAGCAAATCAGCAGTTCTCACATGACATTGTAGCTCACACCAGTCATGAGGGGAAGTCTGAAGAGAAACTATCCCATGTGAAGTTGTCATATGTCTACAACCAGAGTGAAATTGCTAAGAGGAAGTTGGTCAGGACATCACAGTAACTGTCTTGCTTGAGTGCATCTCATATTGTGCCTTAATCCTTGAATAAAGAGACTAAAATAACCCTATCAGATTCATGGTATGTAGTAAAATGCATATACAACAGCCTTTCATTTACAAACAATACAGTTGATATATACATGAACTATCACTTGATTCCTATAGTAAATTTAGTTTTACCTTTTTGTTATGTTTTTCCTTTTTTCTCTTCTTTGATTTTGATTTTGGAGAATCTAAATACAAAGTTTTGAAAAAAACACATATGGTAGGGGGTTCGCAATAGTTTACAAAGGCCAAGATTCACAGTAATATTCAAGGAAGAGCCACGTTAGTATTTTACAACAAACACGCACACCTATATAAGTATCTCAAATGCTAACAGGTTTACAGTGGACCAGAAATCAATTACTGCTGTGTCAACAGTCATTATGCTTACCTTGTATACATTTGAGCTTCACAAAGAAGCTCCACAATTTTACCATTATTTCTCCTTTTATACTATGTCCGCACACCCACACCTACACACACACATATCTATATCTGTCAACCAGGGATAAACTTCAGGCACTTGACAGTACTCGTACAAGGACATGTTTTTGTGTAGTAGTGGTGGTGAATGTACATCCCCACCCCCAAACACAAGGCCATAATGTAAATTGTGCAGTATACATTCCGTGCCCAGTTCCCACAACCTCTCTGCTTCTTTTTAAAGGAGATATTTTCTAAACCAGATCATGACATACATGGGCCTCTGTGCAAGTGCTTATGTTACATTATGTGCATGACTGGGGAATGGGGGAAGTTGGGCTACACACTAGGTGCTTTGTCACCTGAGTTAAGAGCCAGGCCCAGGCACAAATCTCTCTGTAAAACCATAAAAACTAATCACAGCCTTTCTATTATTTACAGGAATGATTATTCTGTGATTAAAGATAATTGGTATATCAAATCAGGAAGATATGGAGACTCCAGCTTCAATACAAAAGGCAGCTGTGATAGCGAGATACTCATAAACAAAAAATTCCAGTGCACAGCATATATCTATAGATACAAATAAACAACTGGGACATACATATTTAGCTCAATTCAGCTGTTCCTTAAGCATGCAAGAACTCCATGCGCTCACTGAAAATCTTGCACAAGACAAAGCTCCAGGGCTCATTTCAACATCAGGCCAGCTCCATCCAAGCAGCTGTACTGTACATGTGGAACATCTTGAAACACCAAATAGGACAAGCGCACAACTTCCTAGCAATCCAGGTTACTGTTTATAATTGGTTTGGCAGTTGTCTGTATTTGCTGAATGACTGACAGCGTAATACAAAAAAAGATTAGCTCAGTACAGCACAATCTTACCTCTACTACTAGAACTGCTTCTGCTATGTGAATCAGAGGACCTTGAAGAACTTGAAGAGGAAGATGTGGACGAACTGGATGATGTGGTAGAGGAAATGGATGACGACCTACTTCTACTGCGTTTCCGTTTCCTTTTCTCTCTCTCTTGAAGAATGAATAAAGTAAGGGATGAAGGATTAGGATTTTAGTTATGTTTTTAGTTTCAAATGTTTATTTAAAAACAATTTATTGCAATTTTTATGCTGGTTAACTACCTCGCAGAAGGTATTAATAAGATAAATGTTAAATGAATAAATATGTAATAATTTTTGCAGTTTCTTCTTTGGTACTCTGCTGCTGCAATTCCAAACAATCAAACCAATTTATGTGACAATTTGTTACATGCTGCAAACAATGCAAATTGACATTTCAATTATTAGAGAATGAGATCGCTTGTGAGCATTCCCAACATAAATTGTGGCTCAAAAAAAATTATTACAATGATCAGAGAATTAGATTGCCTGGGAGCACTTTCAACATAGATTGTGGCTCAAATGCTCTCAAAAATATTCACTCCATTGGAACGTGTATTTTAAGCATTTAGAAGTATCTAAATCCAACGAAGTCGGAGGTCTTGTGCCTGAGTCAGAGTGGCTCGGGGGCAGGGATCCCACTACCGACCTTCGATGGGGCGCCATTGGCGCCAGCGCCGAGGGTCAGGAGTCTGGGAGTGCTCCTGGATGCCACCTTAACAATGGAGGCCCAGATAGCAGCCACTGCCAAGGCAGCCTTTTACCATCTACAGCTGATTAGGCAGTTGGTTCCCTTCCTTGAATGCAATGACCTGGCAACAGTGATCCACGCTATGGTCACCTCGAGATAGGACTACTGCAACGCTCTCTACATGGAGCTGCCCTTGTCCCAAATCCAGAAGCTGCAGCTAGTGCAAAATGCAGCAGCCAGGCTGCTGATGGGCCTCTCTATTCGAGAGCACATCTGGCCTGTGCTGAGGGAGCTGCACTGGCTTAGAATACCATACCAGATTTGCTTCAAGGTGCTGGTTTTGACCTTTAAAGCCCTGTATGGCCGGGGGCCTGCCTACCTGAGGGACTACCTTTCCCCACACGTTCCCCAGAAAGCACTGAGGTCGGGGAATCAAAATCGCCTGACTGTCCCTGGCCCCAAGGATGCCAGACTGGCTATCACCAGATCTAGGGCCTTCTCAGTGGCGGCTCCATACTGGTGGAACGAGCTCCCGGAGGACATCAGGGCCCTGCGTGACCTTCTACAGTTCCGCAGGACCTGTAAAACCAAGCTCTTCCACCAGGCTTTCGATTAGGAGCCGCCACTGAACGAGCTACTGAACATCTATTACTGGCACTTTCTTTGGGATACCGGCCTAGTCATACGGGGCCAACTATAAAATCTGCACTTTGTTTGTATTTAATCTGCACTTTATATTTTATTATTAGAATTTTATCTGTTTTTATTGTAAATTATTATTGCACGCCACCTTGAGCCTGCTTGTCAGGCAAGGTGGGATAGAAATCAAATTAAATAAATAAATAAATAAATATCTAGAAGACTTGTTCACCCACACAAATTAACTTACAAAATGTCCATATAATGAGCATAAGCCTAATTAGAACCAAACCATAAAACTGCAGTATGCTCTCTAGAACCTACTTACCACAAAATCAGTTATTAATCTTACCTCTGACTTTTGTTTTCTCTTGTGAGGTAGCACATAGTGTTCCACATTTCTCTTCATGCCTGTCATCCATATCTATTAAACACACAGAGAATATCACCATTATCAAAAACATTTTTCTTGAAAGATGAGGAAACTATCCAACCCCAAGACTTTTCAAGTACCGGAAGCTGAAATAAAAGTCTAATCTACACATGATACAAGAATTGCGTTCAGATAGCAACACTGACAGGCATGTGTAACTAGTTCATAAATATAAGGTTATGTAATTTTGTAGCTATAGAATGATTTCAGATGCAATTTCAATAGCAGTAAATATATCACAGCTCTTCATTCTAACAAGTCAATCTATGCAGTTCCTAGCCCAACTCTAGCCCCTAACTTAGTTTTTATCTGTGTGCAATTTGGCTAAGTAATAACCTACCTAGAAAGGAAGTACATGTTATCATAGATTTTAAGAAATGAAAGTATGTCCCCTAAATCTTGAAACTCTCCCCTACATAAACAAAAACTAAAAGCCAAAGTAGTCACTGCAAAGATTGAGTACCACATTAGATATCTATAAATCTCTCATTTTACCTTATGGGACAGCTGAAAGTCTTCTCTTAGAAATACCATACAAGTATACACATTAAATATTCGTACTGTATATTATACCTTTTAAATTCTGGGTAGCTTTATGGTCAAGTCAGCTACCCCTTAACACATCTGAATCACTACTTCAGAATTCATATAAACGACCAAACTACAGTGAAATGAGCCACCCCTAAAGCTTGCAACTAAACCAGGATGCACAGATATGTGCCATGAAACAGTTGCCGGTATTCACTATTTGTATCAGGACAATTAAAAGGAAGTCCCACCACCTGTCCCTTGCATGCTTAAAGCTACCTACTGCAATCTTCGCAATGGGGGCAAAGTGGAGCAGCTATTTTGGATTAACATGCCTTTTGTACCAGACTCCTGAATGGACAGCACAACTCTAACGGGCAGCCATCTCGTTTGTGGCCAGTTAGGCTACGAAAACTCCGTTAGGTTGCCAGGTCCCATCCTGGCCACTGGCGGGAGATAGGGAGGTTAGGGTTGCAAGATTCAGGTCAGCAAACTCTGGAGATTTCGGAATGGGGGGGGCGCGACAGGGACCTCAGTGAGGTACAATGCCACAGAGTCCACCCTCCAAAGTATCAATTTTCTCCAGAACTGATCTCGGTAGTCTGGAGATGAGGGGTAATTCCGGGAGATCCCCAGGTCCCATCTGGAGGATGGCATCTCTACTTTGACATTTTAGCACAAAAAATGTAACGCAACCCCCTCCCCCTTCCCCGGTACGCCGAGCCTGAAGCACCTCTCACGGGACTCTCTTACGTCGCGACTCTCCTCGCCTGTTTCCGCCAAAAAGGCGTCGTATTATTATTATTATTGTTTTTTCTACAGCGCCCGAAGAAGCAGGGGTTGTACAGACATGCGCGGAGGGACATGGACTTGAAGGGGGGGGGGGGGGGACCAGCGGAGGCGGCTCCGGTTTTCCCCGGCACAGGATTTAGCGGCGGCGGTGGCGAAAAGCGACAAGGGACGGCTGCCGAGGCTCTCCGGAAACCCGGAACCACAACGCCGAGCGCCGCTGCCTGCCGGGACAGGGACGGCGCCGACATCCGGGAAATGGCGGGAGGCGACTCTCGGCCGGATTGGCGCCTCCCACCTCCGGGCTCCCTCTGGCGTCCCCTTGAGCCGGAACCCCGCCGCTGTCCCAGACCACTTAGGGGGTTTTTCTTCTAGCCGTGCAGTGCTCAGTCAGAACTCTTTCGTAGGAGAAAGCCCCGTTGAGTAGACCTGTTTGGGATTGCACTGTAGTCTCTTGCACGAGGGAAAAAAGAAAAGGGAAACCTCTTGAGACGCAACTTGAAAGCTTTTTCGCTTTCCTTGCTGAGACCATTAGTATTAGTAATGCGTTACTTGATCTTTTGTTCTCACTTGTTATTGGTATTAATAACGAATACCGTTTCTCCCCCAATGTGTTTTATTTTAAAAGATAAAAATATATCCTGTGAGCCATCAACGCAAATAATTCCCCGTCCCGCGAAGACTACTGTTTTTATTGTGGCACAGTAATGTGCCCCAGTGGTCTCTTGCTTTGTTTGAACTTGTAGCCTCATTTTCTAAACACCTCCCCCCCTTTTTTTGGTGCTCATATATATATTTGAGCCCTGACCTAGATGGCCTAGGCTAGTCCAGTGTGGTCAGATCTCAGAAGCTAAGCAAGGTCGGCCCTGGTTAGTACTTTAAATGGGAAACCACCAAGAAAGTCCAGGGCTGCTACACAAAGGCAGGCAATGACCAGCCACCTCTGAATGTCTCTTGCCTTGAAAACTCTAGGGTCACCACAAGTCAGCTGAGATTTGGCAGCACTGTCCACCACATGTATTTCTGCCAATCTTCATGGAAGTGAAGGGATGGGCTGTGGCTTCAGAAAGGTTATTCAACAATTTAGTAGTTCAACTAGGGTTGCGAGGTCTGAGTTGAAAAATACCTGGAGACTTTGGGGGTGGATCCAGGAGGGGGCCCGATTTGAGGAGGGGAGGGGCCTCAGCATGGTACAATGCCCTTCAAAGCAGCCATTTTCTCCAGGGGAACTGATCTCTGTCAGCTGGAGATCAGTTGTAAAAGCAGGGGATCTCCTGGCCCCACCTGGAGGCTGGCAACCCTACTTCAAACTATTTTTGTTGCTTTGCTGCAGATTAAATATTGGGAATTTGTTGAGAATTATTTCTCTTTAGCAGCTCCCCCCATTCCGTCTTTAAAAAAAAAAGAGCACATACAAATTCCATTGATGAAATCCACATGTACACCTCATTTCTTCTTCAACAGCTTGCTCTTTGTACAACAGTAGCACTGGCGGGATCACTGACACAAAGTAGAGGAATGTATACCCACAAAGAAAAGATGTCCATGGAAGCAGTGGTTCCCAATTTTGGATGATAACTCTCTTGCAGGTGGGTGTCATGCCAAGAAAGAACAGAGTAAGCTTGGGAGAGAAGGCTCAGTGGTGAATGATTTTTGCCTCAGCATAATGTGCAAAATGGCCATGAGCTAATTCTATAGTAACATGAATATATATATACAAGTGGATTCCCCAAATTACAGTAAGTTTAGAAATGGGTCCTATTCCAGAAAGCTTGAGAACTGACACAGTAATGCTATCTAGTGCAGACAGAATTCTGTTACCCTTCTGATCCTCGTAACATGGTCCGTACCTTCATGCCAGCAACTTGTTAATCATTTTTCTCAGTAGTCAGGATATAGTTTTTTAATTCCTTCCTCAGTGGGTTACCTCAACTGGCCACTGTTATATCCTTGCTTCTTGCTGCATATGTAAAGGGACAAAGAGCCTTTATTGTTATTAATATGAGGGGAAGTGTGCAAAGTATAGGCTGCTTTCTGTGGGAGGAACCTATCTGGCCACTTGGGTCACCTGTTGACATCTTGCTATATGCCACTGCTGCCTGTCAGAGGTTCAATGGTTATCAAAACAGGAGGTTTTCAGTGGCAGCAGAGAGATCATGACAAGCCCTCTCCTATGCGGCGTGACCAACATTCTTTAGGAAGGCACTAAAATGTCTTTTCCCCAAGTTTTGTGTTGGCTTAAGTTGACCACATTAGATAATTCTACATTCACTCCACAGGCTGCCCAGCAGTTACTGGGTTCAATTTAGAGAAGGAGGATGATATTGGATTTATACCCCATCCTTCACTACCTGAAGGAGTCTCAGAGCAGCTTACAATCTCCTTTCTCCTCCTCTCCCCACAACAGACACCCTGTGAGGTAGGTGGGGCTGAGAGAGCTCTTTCGAGGACTGCTTATGAGAGAACAGCTCTGAAAGAACTTGTGACTGACCCAAGTTCACATCAGCAGCTGCGTGTGGAGGAGTGGGGATCAAACCTGGTTCTCCCAGATTAGAGTCCGTGCTCCTAACTACTACACCAAACTGGCACACCAGTATTGGCTATCACATACAAAGCCCTTCATGGCCTTGGACCCTCATATTTGTGAGACTGTCTCTTCCCTTCTGCCACAACTTCTTCGGTCATCCGAGCAAGGCTTTCTGCAGGTGCCAACTTGCAAATAGGCAAAATCAACAACTGCCCATACATGTGCCTTCTCTGTTTCAGCCTCCACCTTGTAGAATGGTCTGCCTGAGGAAGTCAGGAAGGCTCCCGCTCTCCTGGCTTTCTGCAACCCATGCAAAACTGAAGTCAATAGGGTAGCACTGTACAAACTGCAGTCAATAGGGTAGCACTGTACAAAAGGCCTTACGAAGTTACTTGAATAAATTACTGGCAGCTGGACCCTCATATCTGTGAGACTGTCTCTTCCCTTCTGCCACAACTTCTTCGGTCATCCGAGCAAGGCTTTCTGCAGGTGCCAACTTGCAAATAGGCAAAATCAACAACTGCCCATACATGTGCCTTCTCTGTTTCAGCCTCCACCTTGTGGAATGGCCTGCCTGAGGTCAGGAAGGCTCCCGCTATCCTGGCTTTCTGCAACCCATGCAAAACTGAATTATTCAAGAGGGCTTTTCTATGCAGTCAATAGGGTAGCCCTGTACAGAAGGCCTTACGAAGTTACTTGGATAAATTACTAGCAGCTGTGGTGTCTACTACTGTGTATAGTTTGCTGTGGGTTGGCTCCCATTGTGTAATTTTTATCATTTAATGTATCATGTTAATACTTATATATTTGCTTCAGTTCTGTTTTTTTAGACTTCTGGTTGGTTCTACAACCCAAATTCTATTTCATTGTTTACTGAATGTCCCAGGCAGGTGCAACATTTGACATAGCAACTTATCTTGCCGGTTATAAAAGAAACACTAACACCATGGGCCTCTGAAGAGTGTTTGTGTATATACCTCAACTTTTCTCCCCACTCATCTGCTCTGCTGTATCTGTGGACAGCATGGAAATACTTAGGATAGTAGCAGAAATAAGCAGTTTAAGAACATAAGAGAATCCATGTTGGATCAGGTCGGTGGCTCATCCAGTCCAACACTCTGTGTCACACAGTGGCCAAAACTCAGGTGTCATCAGGAGGTCCACCACTGGGGCCAAAACTCCAGAAGCCCTCCCACTGTGGCCCCCCAAGCACCAAGAATACAATGCATCACTGCCCCCAGAGTGTTCCACCTATACCTTGTGGCTAATAGCCTCTGCTCCATGTTTATCCAATCCCCTCTGTCTATGCTTGTAGCCACCACCACTTCCTGTGGCAGTGAATTCCACGTGATAAGAACTCTTTGGGTGAAGTACTTTTTAAATGTGTACCAAACCTACTGTTCATTAATTTCATTGAGTGCCCACAGGCTCTTGTATTGTGAGAAAGGGAGAAAAGTGCTTTCTCTACCTCCTGTATCCCATGCATAATATTGTAAACCTCTATCATGTAACCTGTCAGTCATCATTTCTCCAGCCTAAAGAGCCCTAACCTTCTGAACCTTTCTTCATAGGGAAGGTGTTCCATCCTCTTAATCATTTTAGTTGCCCTTTTCTGCACCTGTTCCAATGCTATATCTTTGTTGATGTGCAGTGAGAACTGCATGCAATATTTCAAATGAGGCTGCACCATAGAGTGGTGGACTCCAAGAGATTCCCCACTCCTCCACAGCCAGCTGGGTGACCTTGAGTCAGTCGCAGTTCTCTCAGAGCTGCTCTCTCAAGAGCAATTCTCTCAGAACTCTCTCAGTTCCACCTACCTCACAGAGTGTCTGTTGTGGGGAGAGGAATGGAAGGAGATTGCAAGCCGCTCTGAGTGAAGGGCGAGATATAAATCCATTATTCTCCTCCTCCAGCTTTGTTTCCAATCCCCTTCCTACTAATCCCCAGCATAGCATTTGCCTTTTTTACTGCAGTCGAACACTGAGTCCACATTTTCAGAGAGCTATCTACCATGACTCCAAGATCTCTCTCCTGGTTAGTAACTGCCAGTTTGGACCCCATCAACATATATTTATAATTAGGATTTTTGGCTCCAATGTGCATTACTTTGTACTTACCCACGCTGAACCTCATTTGTCACATTGATGGCCACTCTTCCAGCCTCAAAAGATCCCTCTGGAGCAGCTCACAGTCCTCCCTGGTTCTCACTGCACTGAACAACTTAGTGTCATCCGGAAACATAACCACTTCACTACTTACTCCCAACTCCAAATCATTCATGAACAAGTTAAAAAGCACCGGATCTAGAACCAAGCTCTGTGGAACCCCACTGCTTACCACCTTTCACTGTGAAAACTGCATTTATACTATTTCCTGTTATTTAACCAGCTTTTAACTCACAAGAGAACTTGTCCTCTTATCCCATGACTGCTGAGTTTACTTAGGAGCAAAAGACGAGATATTCCCTTACAGAATCCCTGCTGATTCTTCCTTAATAGCTTCTGTTCTTCTGTTCCCTCCACTGGGTGCCGGTAGGGCTGTCCCCACCCCCAGTAT